TGTGGGGGGGGGCACTTTGCTAGCTAGGGAAGGGCTCTGCCGCTGGGCCCCGCACCCTGGTTTTCTGTGGCTGTACCAGCTCAGGCGATGGGGCACCTGCGCCCTGCCCATCGCCTGTGGTGGCTGTAGTCTGGATCAGCCTTGTGGGGTGGGGGCTGGGACAGGGTGAGGTGGAGCCTTGGGGCCTTCCCAGCAGGCATGCTGAGCCCTTTCCAGTGTTGATTGGGTGTCAGGACGCCAACGCCTATGTTGGGACTCAGACTTGGTACTCGGCACCTTTGCTCATTGGCTAAGGCTCTACCAGCTACCATTCCTCCACTCCCTGTGGCCGCTGCTTAATTCCATGGTTTTGCAGTGCATAGTCGCAGGAATTTTTCTTGTTTTGTGTCAGACACGGGGGTTTACACAGGCTTTCCAGTTCTTTTTTTTTTTTTTTTTTGGTCGGTCATGGGGCTTGAACTCTGGGCCTGGGCGCTGTCCCTCAGCTCTTCAGCTCAAGGCGAGCGCTCTACCACTTGAGCTACAGCGCCACTTCCAGTTTTCTGGTGGTTTATTGGAGATAGGAGTCTCACGGTCTTTCCTGCCCGGGCTGGCTTTGAACCGCGATCCTCAGATCTCAGCCTCCTGAGTAGCTAGGATTACAGGCGTGAGCCACCAGTGCCCGGCTGCTTTCCAGTTCTTGTAGGTATTTTGTCACTTTCTTGATGGGATACTTTGAAGTACAACATTTGTTTTGAGATAGTACTGGGGCTTGAACTCGGGTCCTTACACTTTGTCTTTGCCTTTTAGGCTCAAGGCTGATGCTTGCTCTACCATTGAGCCACAGCTCCACTTCTGGCTTTTTGCTGGTTAATTGGAGATAAATCTCAGGTTTAGGCTGGCTTTGAACTGGGATCTCATCTTGGATTACAGGAGTGAGCCACTGGTGCCTGTCTCAGTAGAAAGGCTTCATGGAAACACGATTGTCTTTCTTTCTTTTGAGATAGGGTCTTACTCTTGGTCCTGTCTGGAGATTTCTCTCTGGCACAGGCTGGTCTGAAACTTACAGATCTTGTCTCCAGACGCTGGGATGGCAGCACGCACCACCACGCCCAGCACAAACGTCTCAGAGGACACGTTTTTATTTACGTGGATGGAGCTCTGCTTTTCTATTTCCCTTTGCTCCTCGTGCTTCGGTGTCATCTGAGGTGCTGGGGCCAGTGCTGGCTGGAAACAGCCGGCACTTGCAGCCTTGGGTTCACCATATTTCGGCCCCCGTGGTCTCTGGGCAGTGGTTCAGAACATGCTTGGGCCTGTAGCCAGGCTTGAGGGGACCAGGTGTACCTTGCCCTCGGTGGGCAGTCTGAAGCACAGCTAGGGTGGCAAGGACCTCTGAAGGCTCCTAGTCACCCTGCCAGGGAGCTTGGTGGTGCTCTGAATTGTGGTCTTGCTGCAGTACCAGTGGATCTCAGTGGTGTGGTTGTGTGTGCATGGTGGTGGTGATCTCGGTGGTGTGGCTGTGTGTGCACGGTGGCGGTAGTGATCTCTGTGTGGCTGTGTGTGCACAGTGGCGGCAGTGGTGGTGGTGACCTCAGTGGTGTGGCTGTGTGTGCATGGTGGCAGTGATGATCTCGGTGTAGCTGTGTGTGCATAGTGATGGTGGTAGTGTTACTGGTACATGGTGGCGGTAGTGGTGTTCTCAGTGGTGTGGCTGTGTGTGCATAGTGGTGGTGGTGGTGATCTCTGTGGTGTGGCTTTGTGTGCATGGTGGCAGTGGTGGTGGTATCAGTGGTGTGACTGTGTGTGCATGGTGGTGGTGGTGATCTCTGGTGTGGCTGTGTGTGCACAGTGGCGGCAGTGGTGGGGGTGATCTCAGTGTAGCTGTGTGTGCATAGTGGTGGGTGGTGGTAGTGGTGTTGTCAGTGCATGGTGGCGGTAGTGGTGATCTCAGTGGTGTGGCTGTGTGTGCATGGTGGCAGTGGTGGTGTTCTCAGTGGTGTGGCTGTGTGTGCATAGTGGTGGTGGTGGTGGTCTCTGGTGTGGCTGTGTGTGCACTGTGGCGGCAGTAGTTGTGGTGATCTCGGTGGTGTGGCTGTGTGTACATGGTGGTGGTGGTGGTATCAGTGGTGTGGCTGTGTGTGCATAGTGGCAGTGGTGATCTCTGTGGTGTGGCTGTGTGTGCACAGTGGTGGTGGTGATCTCAGTGTAGCTGTGTGTGCACGGTGGCGGTGGTAGTGATCTCAGTGGTATGGTGGTGGTGATCTTGGTGGTGTGGCTGCGGTGTGCGTGGTTGTGGTGATGTCGGTGGTGTATCTGTGGTATGCACCAGCTGTGTGCTGTGGCTTCTCAGGAGAGGCACAGACAGGTCTTCGTGGAGGCTTCTTTGGACTTGAAACACCTTATATTCACAGGGCAGTTGCTGCAGGGCCATGGGGGCCCTGCCGCTGTGGCTGTTCCCCAGAGGCTCATGGGTGGAGTTGCTGCTGTCCGTGGTGTTCTTGCCCCAGTCCAGCGGCCTCTGTTCAGTGGCACACTGGCCAGCATGCGTCCGGGAGTTGACATGCATGGCCCAGGCTGTGCAGGAGCCCCTGTTGGTCTGTGGTGGGCGCTGGTGGCTTCGCTATTCGGGAGGCTGAGGTCTGAGGATTGTGGTTAGAAGCCAGCCCAGGCAGAAAAGTCCGTGAGACTGACATCTCCAGTTAACCAACAAAAAGCTGGAAGTGAAGGAGTGGCTCAAGTGGTAGAGAGCCAGTGAGGAGGCCCTGGTTCAACAGTGTTGGCGCGTGTCTGTGGTGAACGTTCGGTGTTGGTAAACACAGGCGTGACTTGGCGGGGGGAGGTGGGTGCTGGAGCGCCAGGAGGCACACCTCTCGTGTCCGCTGCAGCTTGTGGCCGCGGGGGGGAGGGGCAGGCCCTGTGGATGTGGGGTCCTGCCCATCTCCAGGGCCCTCTAAGCGGCACCCCGGTGTGCACCCAGAGTGTCCTTCCACCCCTTGCTCCTTTCAGCCATCTCCAGGCCCTGGGTCAGTTCACACAAGCCATGGCGAGGAGGCCCTGCTGGGCTTTTCCCTGCTCTGCAGCCACTTCGCTGTTCAGGGCTTCAAGTGAGGTCTCCCCAACTTTGAAGGGGCCTGGAGGCTGAGTGCAGCCCTTGTCCAGCACGCAGCATGTGGGCACAGTCTCGGGCTCATTCTTGGTGGCTCCTGCTGTCAGTGTGTGTCGTAGGGTGTGGGGGACAACGATTCTCCATCGAGAGTCCGGGGTGAACGGCACTGGGTAGCATGCCCCCCAGCGCCCCCCTTCCCCCGCGGGCAGCTGACCACTGGCCCTGGCCCCGCCGTCTGTGTCAGAACCGCCTCTGGTGGCTCCGGCCTGAAAAAACCAACCCGGAGGTGACTGGTGCTAACTGGTCTTCCCAGAAGAGGAGGGGTACGGTGGTCTGTCGCTGGGCCCGGTTTTGACCCCACGCACGGCCTGCTGCCTGGGGCCCGGGCTCCCTGTGACCGGTGTTGGAGATGGAGTCCCTGTCCTCCCCAGGCCTTGAGAATGAGCCCCATGCTACCTGGGAGAGGCGCTGCAGGCCCCACCTCAGCCTTGTCTCAGCCGCTGGGGGGCCCAGCCGGAGCAGCCGTTTCCTCGGGTGACTGGGTGCCCACCCAGCAGAGCCGGGACGGGCACAGGGGCACAGCGGCGCGGGGCGGGGGACCAGCCTGGGGTAGGCGCACCACACCCTCGGGGTCGGGCGCTTCTCTCTGGGCCTCTGAGGTTTCTGGCGTGGGCACGGGGCCGGGCTGGGTCTTGCGGCTTTCCTCTGGTGAGAACAGCTCACTTTCCCACCTGCTCCGGCGCCTGCTCAGACAGGAAGCCCCACCCTCTGGTGTCTGCCCCCTTGGCCTCTTCCCAGACTGCCACCTTAGCCTCCTGCCCCCAGCAGGCATGCCTGGCTGTGTGCAGGCCCCCCAGCTCTGGCCTGAGACCCCAGGGCCATTCCATGGTCATCTCCTTTCCCTGCTCCCGCCCCAGGGGTTGGGGTACCCCTCAGCCCCTCGCACCGCGCCTCTGCCTGCCTCCTGGGCCGCCCACGCCCCCTCCTCCCCATCCCCCCCCCCCCCCCCCCCCCCGTGGAAACAGCTCAAGATGGGGTGACCAGCTGACTGCTCCCTTCCGCTCCCCTCGGGCAGCCAGGCTCTTCCCTCCTCACCCCATCGGGCACTTCTCCCAGGGTGCTGTCTCCAGTGCTCCCGGGGAAGCCGGGACCTCTGTCTGCCTCTGCCCTCCAGGCCCTGGCTGAGGCTCCACCTCTGCCACTTTCCCGCAGGTCATTTCATGGTTGGCCCCTGCTCAGACAGGCCTCCTGCCCTGCCGGCCTATGTAGTGAAGGCTGCTGTGTTCCAGGAGCCCCCAGGTCCTCATTCTCTTGCAGATGAACCATCGCTGAGGGGTGGTGTTCACCAGAAGTCTCAGACTCCCCCCTTCCCTGGCTTGGGGGGGGGGCGTGTTGAGTGTGTGCCCCTCCTCTGGACCAGGGCTGCACCCTGCCCTCACCATCTGGGCCACCCCCTTCCCAGGCCCCTTCTGAGCCTTGCCCATGGAGCCCTTCAGCTGGTTGGATGCATGCAGTTGCTGTTGGGGTGCAGTGAGGGTCGCATTCTGGTGAGGCATCATGGGAGCTCACTGGGCCAAGAGCGTGATGCCAGCCCTGGAGGTCAAGGGACGTTAGAGTCAGGCGGAGCCTCTGTGGGGGCCGGGGTGTTCCTCTGCACCCCACCCCGAGCCTCTGCAGCTGTGGAGTGAGGTCACCTCGTAGCTGCCAACAACATCAGCTTTGTTCTTGGGGTGACTTGTCTCTCGCCGGCAGCATCAGGCTTACCTTTGCACGTGTGGCCCCGCGGCGAGGAGGAGGGGCAGGTCTGGTTCTGTGCACTCTAGGCATGGTGGGGCATGCGTGTGCTCACAGGCGTGGGAGGAGAGACCCCGCCCCAGGGCCCCAGGGGCCAACAGAGCTTGTGTGTTCATCACAGGTCTCCGAGCCCCCAGCCCCCATGAGACCCAAACCCGATGACTCTTCCCAGTGCCCCGCATCCTCTGAGAAGGACAAGCAACCCAGCTGGCTGCGGACCTTGGCTGCTTCCTCCAACAAGGTGTGTGTGGGGGCTGTTGGAAGTCCTGGGGAGGAGGGCGTGGCCCGGCTGACACTCACAGACCAGTCTCTTGCAGAGCCTCGGCTGCCCTCACCCTCGCCAGCGCCTCTCTGCTTTCCGACCCTGGTCCCCTGCGGTCTCCACAAGCGAGAAGGAGATCTCCCCACACCTCCCAGCCCTGATCCGCGACAGGTGAGATGTGCACGGGCTGCCTGCCCGCGACGGCGCGGTCCACTCGTGCGCCAGCCTGCTCCGGGCCCCAGCATTTGTGGGTCTCAGTCTGTGAAGCTTGACATTGAGATCCAGTCGGAAGCCAGGCGCTGGTGGCTCACGCCTATAATCCTGGCTTCTCAGGAGCCTCTGAGCAGTGAGGTTCCAAGCCAGCTGGGGCTTCAGAAAAGGTTCTGTGAAACTCCACCTCCGGCCAGCAAGCCAAGCTAGATTCGAGGCCTGGCTTGAGAGGTGGAGCTGTGAGCAAAAGAGCTGAGGGAGAACTGGAGGCCCCGAGTTCAAGGCCTGGTACCGGCAAAAAAAAAAGAAAGAAAACATGGGCTGGGGAGGTGGCTCAGTGGTAGAGTGCTCGCCTAGCATGCATGAAGCCCCAGGTTCAATTCCTCAGCACCACACACACAGAAAAGGCCGGAAGTGGCACTATGGCTCAAGTGGTAGAGTGCTAGCTTTGAGCAAAAGCAGCTCAGGGACAGCGTCCAGGCCCTGAATTCAAGCCCCAGGACTGGGGGAACAAATAGAAAAAAGAATAGGATTCAGAGTTGAAGGAAAAAGTGTTTCCCCTTGGCGTGGGCAGGCGTTAGCTCTGCAGGTGTCCGGCTGTGGGGCTAGGGCTGCGTGCTGGAGGGGCCTCAGGCGGGCTTGCAGACCTAACTCCTCCTCCTGTGTGCCCCGCAGCTTTTACTCCTACAAGAGCTTCGAGACGGCTGTGGCCCCCAACGTGGCCCTTGCCCCGCCAGCCCAGCAGAAGGTGGTGAGCAGCCCGCCATGCGCCACTGTGGTGTCCCGAGCTCCCGAGCCTCTCCCCACTTGTGTCCAGCCTCGGAAGCGGAAGCTGACTGCAGACACCCCAGGAGCCCCGGAGACGTTGGCGCCCTCAACTGCCACGGAAGAGGACAAGGACTCGGAGGCCGAGGTGGAAGTTGAGAGCAGAGAGGGATGTAAGTCGGCTCCTGGGAGCCTTGGGACCCTGGGCTGGGGTGCGGAGGCGTGGGCGTGGCTCCACCCCGGCTCTTCTCCGAGGCACCGCTGACCAGGGCCTGTCTCTGTCCCCAGTCACGTCCTCCCTGTCCTCGCTGTCCTCTCCATCCTTCACCTCGTCCAGTTCTGCCAAGGACCTGAGCTCCCCAGGCACGCACGCCCCACCCGCGGCCGCCCCGGATGCCGCAGCCCACGCCGACACCCCCAGTGGGCTGGAGGCGGAGCTGGAGCACCTGCGGCAGGCCCTGGAGGGCGGCCTGGACACCAAGGAAGCCAAAGAGAAGTTCCTGCATGAAGTGGTCAAGATGCGCGTGAAGCAGGAGGAGAAGCTGAACGCAGCCCTGCAGGCCAAGCGCAGCCTCCACCAGGTGAGAGTGGGCGTCGGCCTTCCTCCCGCTGACCGGGAGAGCCTCGGGAGGGGGGGGGGGGGGACGGCCAGGTGACCCAGCCACACAGGGCGCTTTCTCACGGAGCCACATCCCCAGCCCGGGGCCTCCTGAGTGGCTGGGACTGCCAGTGTGTGCCAGCTCCATGGTTGAGATGAGGTCTCACTAGCTGTGCTCAGGCTGGCCTCTGCGTGACCCCGGTCCCCGTGCGCCAGGCCACTGTGGCCATCCTGATGTCCAGCAGCCCCTTGGCGCTCCCAGGGAGAGCTCCCGCCGCGGGTTTGGCTGTGTCTGTTCCTCCGCCCAGCGGCCACACACCGAGCGGCCGCCCCGCTAGCAAAGCCTCCAGGGAGTCAGTCCAGCAGAGCACTCTGGGAGCACACGTTCGTGGGGACACGGCCCCTACCTCATACTCGCTGTCAGCCTGGCCCACGTCACTGTGTGTGGTTCGGCAGCTCCACTCTGGTGCCTCCTTTTTACATGGTTGTTTCTGATTGTAAGTGCGCAGCCATTGCGGGGCGAGGGGTAAGAGGGCAGGGCTGGCCGGCCTGGCTTCCCCGGCGCACGCCCCCCCTCTCCCCCCATGGCCCGAGTCACACCGCAGCCTGTGTCTGGCAGCTCCACAAGCGTGGGCTTTAGCACAACACAACCCTGCGAGTCTTGGGGCTGCAGGACTTCACACACTCGCTCTCCTGGGAGCGTCTCAGTCACTCGCCCCAGCTACTGTCTGCTGTCCCCCGCTGTCCCCGCTTCTTGGCAAAGGTGTGATTCCCACATGTGCTTTCAGAGGCGGGGGCATGAGTCACCACTGTGCTAACACTCGGGGGAAGGGAGCAGGCTGTGCCAGGGCTGGTGATGGCCCCATCTGCTGGGGGGTAACCTACCCCAAAGTGGCCACCCCAGGGTTCGGCTGGCATCCAAGAGGAGGCATTCCGAAGCTGGCTGCTGAGGTCCTGGGGGCACTGAGAGGAGGAAGGCAGGGTGGGCAGGAAGCCAGGTGGAAGGATGCGTGGCCTGAAGGGGCTCCGAGTGGGCCGGCAGCGACCTTGAGCCCCTCTCTCAGGAGCTGGAGTTTCTGCGTGTGGCCAAGAAGGAGAAGCTGCGGGAAGCCACGGAGGCCAAGCGGAGCCTGAGGAAGGAGATCGAGCGCCTCCGAGCCGAGAATGAGAAGAAGATGAAAGAGGCCAACGAGTCTCGGGTGCGCCTGAAGCGGGAGCTGGAGCAGGCGCGGCAGGCCCGAGTGTGTGACAAGGGCTGCGAGGCCGGCCGTCTGCGCGCCAAGTACTCCGCTCAGGTACGGGGCGGGCACAGAGCCAGCCAGCCATCCCTTCAGCCCAGGTCGTCCGTGTCCCCACTGCCACGGGGCCCGGCCGAGCCTGTGACACGTCCCACAGCCACACGCCCGAGCACACCATCCACAGGGAGCCATGGTATGGCCCGGGTGCCTGCCACCCACTGAGGCCCTCCCTGGTCATGCCCCTCCACCCCCCGCCCCCTGGCCCCGGGCCTGAGTCCTGGGAGGCTCTGCTGCCCTCAGTGCGGGGCGCCACCCCGCCCCGCTGGGCGTCTGTCTCGGGCAGAGGCGGGTAAATTCTGGCAGGCTGGACCTGGGCTTGGTTCAGGGCACAGGCAGAGCAGGATCCAGCACAGGAAGGTGGGCCCCTTTCTAGAAGTAGGTGGCACCGCCCGACGGGCAGTGTGCGGCTGACCCTTGGTGTCCTTTTCAGATCGAGGACCTGCAGGCCAAGCTGCAGCACGCAGAGGCCGATCGGGAACAGCTGCGGGCTGACCTGCTGCGGGAGCGCGAGGCCCGTGAGCACCTGGAGAAGGTGGTGAAGGAGCTGCAGGAGCAGCTGTGGCCTCGGCCGCCACCTGAGCACACCGGCGGCGGGGGCAGCACCGACCTTGAGCCCTAGCCCTGGCGTGGCCGCCCGGCGGCGTGGTCTCCAGCTTGACCCCCAGCTCAGGCCCGGTGGGCGGGCGGCAGCGGGCGGCGCTGCCCAGGCCCAGCCCCGCCCCCGCAGCCACCCAGCACAACGTCTCTACTGTGCCTATTACCAAACGAGTGTTTGTAACCACACACTTTTGGAATCCACTGCAAAATTTTCTACTGGCCAAGTTCAAATAAGCAAGCTGTGTCCCTAGCTGCAGCCAGTCCACGCCAGCACGGTGGCTTGTGGCTGGATCTCTGCTTGCCAGAACATTCTAACATTTACACTTTTGTTATAAGCTATTTAAAACCAATAAGGAGACTTGATACTCAGAAAAATCAACACGTTTTTTAGTGACTAACTTTCATAGGCTTTGACACGCCACACCGTCTGGAGGCCCGCCCTGGGGCCTGGGAAGCCATCACCGCTCATCTGTGCCCGCGGCCGCACAAGGGCAGCAAGGGTTTTCTTCAGAGTTTATTTTTTCAGCGACAAGGGCCCGGGTCTTCCTGCTCCGCCAGGAAGAGCAGGTCGAGTGCCGCGTGCGAGATGAGCCGAACACTGCCCGCCTTACCGCCGCCCGCCCCGCTGCCCGGCCGCCGCTCCACGGGCTCCCGGAGGCCGAGCTGCGCAGGAGCCGTGGGGGGGGGGGGGGACAACGGAGACGTCCCGGCGCCCCGTGCCCGCCTCCGCCGCTGGGACCGGCCCGGGAACACGCGCCCCTTGACCCCCGGCTCTCGGCACTTTGGCACACACCGCCCATTCCCATCGCCGGGCTGAGGCTGCAGCTTTGGAACAAATAGCATTACATCACTTTTTTTTGTTACTCATTCATTTAAACGTATGTTTAGAACTGCACTTTGTCAAAAACCTTCCCTTCTCTTTTTACTCCCCAGTTAACTGAGGTTTTTACCGATTTCTAGAGCAGTTCAAACCCTAAGTGCTCGAGTGCTTAGAAATCCCCTCTGGTGCTTGGTTGAACAAGGGAATCACAAGAAAACGAACACGCAGAAACTGAACTTGGGGGTCGTTCTGTGCCTTCCAGCGTCTCGTACAGCAAACCTGACTCATGTCTTTTTACCCCCAAAAATACCGTCTTCAGTAGCGATTGAAATCTGCCACTGTCAGAATACGTTACTTGCATTTATTCCAAATAGTCTTGTTTACTCTTAACTGTTCATGCAAATTGTATAAGGTTTCTTATGCCCAAGCTTGAAAAACGATTTTCCAGTAGACAGGAGGCCGCCGCGCCCTCCCCCTCCCCCTCCCCTCCCCTCCCCCTCAGTGGCGGTATTTATTTGAGATCACACAGGAGTTCTTTGCTTTAGTCTTTCCAGCACCCTGGCCGCGAGCTGAGCGAGGTGGAGTGCGGAGCGTCCGCACAGGTACAAACAGCCCCAAGTGCGCACCGCACCGGGGAGGAGCAAAGCCAGACCCGGAAGCCCTGGCGTCGGAGCGGGTGAGGGGCCGTCTGCAGGGCTCGCCCTTGGTTTACTGAGGGGGCTCGGCGGCAGCTGGCCCTCCGCCTTCTAAAGTGCAATGCAAAAGGGACATCGTGTATGCGCAGCGTTTGTTTGGGAATCTTTGCTTTTGCTTTTCTTTTGTGGTTATGAAACCTGTATGCATGGGATGTCATGCCTCTTCGGCGCCCACCCGTGGCGTTACTACCGTGTCATAAAGGGTCGGATCTGTTACGCAGCGTGCAGAATGCGGCTTTCGGCCTTGTTTTTCTGAGTTGTGTTTTTTCAGTCCTTTCTTCAAGGAGAACTAAATGGTTTAGTTGGAGCAAAGCTTTAAATGTGTTGGCGTGCTTGTGTGTGGCGTCCTTGTCACCACGTCTGGAGATGGCCCTGAGCCAGGCCCTGGTTGAGTCTTAGCTCCAGAGGGACACGCTCCGCTCCGCTCCGCAGTGGCGGGCAGAGCCTCTCCCCGCCCCGCCTCTTGTCACCATCACTCCCGGCCCCTGGGCCTAGCGCTAGCAATGCAGCAGGAACTTCGGTGTACAGCTAGACCTGGCCGGGGAGCCCACCGAGGCCACAGCTCCCACGGCTCCCCCAGGCCTTCCGACGGTGGGAACTTGACCAGCGGCTCAAGCTTTGGGCCTCCTAAGGCAGCTCTGCTCTCTCTGGCTCCGTGCCCTGGGTGAAGCCAGCTGGCCGCAGGCCAGCCGGGCAGCTCCACTGCGGGGCATGGTGGGCCGGGGCGGCCGGGCCAGGCCCCAGAGTGCTTGTTGAGGCTGCAAGTTCATTTTTTGCTCAGAGAAAGGGAGGAGAGATTGCTATCATCGCGTTGGTCGTTGACTCCCTGTGTGTGAACCCATTACCGCGATGGTTGTGTATCACTTTAATTACTCATTTCTATTCTGAAAGGTTTTTAACGAAGGGAAAAACCAACAGCAATAACATTCATATCCGTGAGCAGCTAACCCCACACACGACACCCCGCTTTCCTACAGAGCTGGCCGATGAAAAAACAACTCACATGTAAATACTTCTGTTCCCTTTCATTTTACGCCGTTGTATGATACGTGTATATGGTGGTTCTTTTTTCAGAAACTTTTCTTACCTGGTAGCTGTTTTGTTTTCCGGGTTGTTTTTAACTGAGGAAAAAACGCTCATCTGCCAGAGGGGACGAGCAGCCTCGTGGCCATCTCCTGCGTGGTGTCCCTCCCCCTGGCCGCTGCCCAGTCCCATCTCCACCCAGGTTGGTCCCCGCGCTCCCTCCCACCGCCCCTCCTCGCCAGCGCTGGGAGCCGCATCCTCCCCCCGCTCTAAGTCAGGAGTCGCAGTGACTTTTTTTCAGTTAAGGAAGCAAGCCCCAGCTGCACCTTTCTAACCACCGGAGCCCTGCGCCCTCCCGTGTCCTATGCTGCTAACGACAATATGATGGCTTACTCTGCTATTCGAAAACTATTTTTATGTAATTAATGTATGCTTTCTTGTTTATAAATGCCTGATTTAAAAAAGGAAAAAGAAAAGGCTTGGCATATTTATCTATCTCGCTGTGTACCTGTTAGTCCTTTGCTGCCCACCTGCCCCCGATCCGCAAACAGACACCATTGTATAATAAAGGACTTTGACAGAACGGGCGGGCCGCGTGCTTGGGCCAACAGCCCTTCCTCGGAGCGGAGCAGCGGCGCGGCGCGGTGATCTCCGCAGGTCAGACCGTGGCCCTGGCTCTCTGACCTCACATGGGCCACGGGTCACTCTGCGTTGGATGGAGCTGGAGCCCTGGCCAGACTGGGACAGGACCCAGGCAGAAGGACTGGACAAGGCACTTTCTGGCCTGGCCTCTGTGAGGGCCTGCTGGAGTTAAGTCTTCTGCAGGACTGGGGCACAGAGCCCAGTGTCCTGTCCCCGCCCCATGGGGCCAACCGCAAAGCCTTCAGGGCTTGGGGCTTGTAGCCTGTTTTGCAGGAGCCTCTAGCTGGCTGGCCAGTCACCACCTTTTGGTTTACTTTGGCCACCCAGGTCCAGTTTCCCAGTACAGCCTGGCCCCTGGTCCGGGCCATTTGGTCCCTTGTTCAAGAAATGGGCTGAGCTCTGTCCAGTATATTGGACAGACTTCTGAGCCCCCCTTCTCCAGGCTGGGGATCCCCCAGATCCAGCCTCCCAGAGAAACCCTGCTTGTCCTGCCTGTTAAGGCAAACCTAGCAGTTGCAGGAGAGTTGCCTGCCGTCCTGGCTGCTCATGGAGCCGGGGGAGGTCCTGCGGTGAGCTGCTCCTGCTGGGCTGTATGCTAGGTGCTTGCTCCTTTCAGGTTGTGGCCCCAGGCCATTTCCAGGACTAGTGAGAGCAGCTGCTGGGCCTCCCCGCGCTGGCCAATGGCAGGGGGAGGAGGGCTGCTGGATGTCCCTGGCTGGTCCTGGGGAGGCGTGTGGTTGTGCTCACACCTGACCTGCCAGGATCCTTGGACTGGCGGCACCTCTAGAAGCCGCTACCCCGGCCTTCGGGAGGGAACCCAAGGGAAGGGGTCGAACCCTCTGACCTGTGGCAGGGAGGGCAAGAAGGGAACAGATGGCCCCTGAGCTCAGGACTGCACCCCATCCCCTAGCTGATGCCAGTGTTTTAGGTTATCCTGGGAGACAGGAGTGAGGTGGGGGAGCTTCTAGCTGGTCCTGAATTCTTACAGCCATGGCCTCCCTGCCCCCCCATTCTCCACATGTCTGTGGTCTCCTTCCTAGAGCCAAGTCTGTCCCCCCCCCCCCCCCCCATGGTCTAGGGCGCTGACCGCAGCCAAAAACACAGGCTCTTATCTGGGGCTGTGGATGCCAGGCACCCTCCTTCCTGCCTGTCCAGTTCCTGGAACAGCTGCACGGCAGCAGAGCCCACCCTACTCCCCAGTCCCACCTCCCCCCCAGCCCTGGATGAGGGGAAACAGCCCCACCTGCCCTAAGGAAACAGCAGCCTGGGTCTAAGGTCTGCCAAGGGACCCCAAGAGGAGAAGGCCGGGCTGGCACGTGCCCTGAGGGAAAGCGAGGGCTCGGAGGACTGCAGGCCTCCTCACAGATCCCACCCACCCACCGCAGCCAAGCTCTGCCCCGCCATGGGGGTGCTGGGAGGGGGAGGGGGCTGGATGCCGGCCCACCACGGCTGCCCCCCATGGCCTTTGTGACGCACATGGCCATCTGCAGCCTGGCCCGTGCCAGGTGGGCGGGGGCCTCGAGCTCAGGGGCACCCAGCCCTGGAGCAGGTGTCCAGCCAGGCTGGGCCGAGCCTTCCTGCCCTCTCCCTGGCAGGAGGCTGAGGCAGGCTCTGGCCCACCTTGCTCTTGCTGCACAGAGGTCTTTCTAAGAGCTCAGTGGAAAGGTCACCTGAAGCAGGAGCCCAGTGTGAGAGCCTTCTCGGGAAGCAGGACTGCCCTGGACCATACCAGACAAGTGTCCCTGAGCCTCCTGTCCATCCCAGCCCCTCCCAGGTCACGCTCAGACATGGGTGGGGTATGTTTCTCTCTGGGAAGTGGCTTCTGTCTGCCCAGCTTGGTTGGATGTAGGACTGACCGCCAACTTGCTCCCAGAGCTCAGGCTGCAGAGATCGAAGGCCTTCCAGCCAGTGACTGCTGCTGGCGCCCGTGCCCGGTGCCCATGCTGCTGGCAGTGCCTATCCACATCCAGGTCGCCCCTTATGCCAGGCCCCCTGATCTCCCTGCAAGGCTCTTCTGACAAGGCAGTTCCTAACGGTCACTCCAGGACAGGGGTGCACAGTGCTCTCTACTTAACCCCTTCCTGAGGCCTGCTCCTGGAGCATCCAGTTTGAGAGCCCCTCCAGTCACTGGTGCCCCTGGCCTTGGGAGGTGAGTGCACATTGGGTGCACACGTCTGTGCACATTGGGTGCATGTGCACACCAGGTGTGTGTGCTTTTGGTGCCTTGAACACCTAGGGGGTTGTGTGTGCCTAGGCACACTGGGTGCATCCTGTGTGTGCACATCGGGTGTGTGTGCACTGGGTGCCTGTGCGCATCGGGTGTGTGCACCGGGTGCCTGTGTGCACTGTGCACTGGGTACCTCGCACGCCGGGTGTGTGTGCACTGGGTGCCTGTGTGCATCCTGTGTGTGAGCATCGGGTGTGTGTGCACTGTGCACTGGGTACCACGCACACCGGGTGTGTGTGCACCAGGTGCCTGTGTGCACTGTGCACTGGGTACCTCGCACGCCAGGTGTGTGTGCACTGGGTGCCTGTGTGCATCCTGTGTGTGCACATCGGGTGTGTGCGCACCGGGTGTGTGTACACTGTGCACTGGGTACCTCGCACACCGAGTGTGTGTGCACTGGGTGCCTGTGTGCACCGGGTGCCTGTGTGCACTGTGCACTGGGTACCTCGCACGCCGGGTGTGTGTGCTCTGGGTGCCTGTGTGCATCGGGTGTGTGCACCGGGTGCCTGTGTGCACTGTGCACTGGGTACCTCACGCCGGGTGTGTGTGCACTGGGTGCCTGTGTGCACTGGGTGCCTGTGTGCACTGTGCACTGGGTACCTCGCACGCCGGGTGTGTGTGCACTGGGTGCCTGTGTGCATCCTGTGTGTGCACATGGGGTGTGTGCACATTGGGTGTGCGTGCACTGTGCACTGGGTACCTCGCACACCGGGTGTGTGTGCACCGGGTGCCTGTGTGCACTGTGCACTGGGTACCTCGCACACCGGGTGTGTGTGCACTGGGTGCCTGTGTACACTGGGTACCTCACACACCGGGTGCCTGAGAGCATCTGTGTCTGCGTGTGCGGGTCTGGGGAGGAGGAGGGAGGAGGAGGCG